ATAGACTCATTCATTTACAAAGTTAGCAACGAATGTCTATTTGCTTTATTTTAGGCAAGGAATATTTGAAGTAAAATAGATGGTTCCTGTTTTTTAAAGGACCTAAAGTTCACTGAGGGACACAGGTAAAGGTGTAAAGCAATGAAGTCAGGGGTAGAAACATGATAGGAAAGGATAGATGACTGTAGAAAAACATAGGCATCCAAGAGGTGGTCATCTCTCGCATACTGGCTTTAGATTACAGGAGAAATGCTTGCTGTAGGACGCCAAATATGAACTGAATCTTACAGAAGTTATTCTGGAGACTTGTAGATTGGTTTTGCAGATTCCATGTCTTCACATATATGCTATTAATAAAACAGTACAGTTAGTATCATTGGCTCACTGAAGATCAAGAATAATTCCTGTAGATTTTTTTGATCAGGAAGGTCAAGTTAGGGGAAGGACAGAAAAGGTGAGCAAGGAAAGAGACACTTTAATAGAGGGAGCTGTTAAGGGCTTAACGAGAAACCTGGCACTAGGGAAATTCCCAGGAATCCACAAGGATGACCCCAACTAAGAATCTAAGCAATAGTGGAGATGCTACCTTAAATGCCCTTCCCATAAAATGAGATTGATGACTATCTTAAATGCCATCATCGAGCCTTCATCCAGTAGCTGATGGAAGTAGAAACAGGTTCACAGTTAAGCACTGAGGCGAACTCCTGGAATCCAGACGTAAAGAGAGATGAGTGATTAGCAAAGGGGTTAAGACCGTGGTCGGGGAAACCCACAGAAACAGCTGACCTGAACAAGTGGGAGCTCATGGACTACAGCCTGACATCTGGGGATCCTGAATAAGACTGAACTAGACCCTCTGAACGTGGGGGTTAATTGGGGGTTTGAGAAGTACATGAGGCCACTGACAGTGAAACCAGCATTTTTCCCTAGTGCATAACTGGTTTTTTGGAGCCCATTCCCTATGAAAGGATACTCTCTCAGCATAGATACATGGGGGAGGACCTAGGTCCTGTTCCAAATGATATGACAGGTTTTGATGATCCCCCCATGGAAGGCCTCACCCTCTCTGATAGGGTTGGGATGAGGAGATGGTGGGAGAAGTGGGAGGATGGGAGGGAAAGGGAACTGGGATTGGTATGTAAAATAAGATTGTTTTAATTTAAGTTTAAAAATTAGTGAAAAAATAAAAATGATTTCTCAGATACAACAATGTTTTGTTGTTAGTGTAGCCAAACAGCCATTAAGTGACAAGCAACAGAAGCATACTCTTCTCATAAATTAGCCTGGCTAAAACTGAAGTAAGATCTGTTTTGTTTTCATATCATAATAGCCTGTTGGGATAAATGAACTTGGCATCCACAGTTTTAATTGTATTAGGTTATATTCACTACCCAGGATAGTAATGGAGAGTGGTGTTGTGTCATAAGTGCTGTGGTGTGTCAGTGATGAAGATAACATCCTACATGTGACCAGGTCAGTCACTCTAGGAATTCATCCTCTGAGGGCACAGGTGATCTCAGTTCTAACAAGTGAATAGACAATGCATTTCCACAGCAAGGTCTGTCTTTTTTCAAGGGTGGCTGCACCTTCTTTCAGAGATAAAAGGCTGTTGTGTTTTCTGCAGAGTCAGTTTTTCATTAGTGGGAAGCGTCTCTCACTGCCCACAAAGTAGTAAAACCTCCATTGTTGTTTATGATCATGAAGCCCTGCCCGCATGATTTAGAGCCTCATATTAGCTACCAAGAACAACATGTAAGCTAGGGAAATGAAGATTTGGTAATGAAATTAATCAAGAAGGGAAATTTAGCAATGTGACAGGATAGCTGTCTTCATCAATTGCTTTTTCACTTAACATAGTATGTAAAATCCTTCACACCAAGGTAGGTAGGCCCTGTCATTCCGTGTTAAGGTAAGTATATGGGTCATTGAATGATAAATTCCAAGATTCATACAGTAACTTCCCTAGTGTATGAAATTTGAAGACTACACTTCTATAGAGAACTTCCTTTTTTGGTTAGCTACCATATGACCATGCCTGATGCTCTCTGCAGTAACTCTGGGTAGGACTAAGCCTCTGAATAGAGAGCAGTAAGACTTTTTCTTGTGGAGTTGTTTCCTGACTCAGCTAGTTTGCTTTCTGGAACAAATATCACAGTGCTATGCATTGGCCTTGGGAATTTCCAGACATGCCAGATGACAGGAGAAAGGAGACAGAGAAGAAATAGATGGAAGTTCAATGTCTAGCAGGCACCTGCTGTGACCCACTGTGACTCCGCCAGCCAGGGGATTGTAGGAAAAGTTGAAACAGTCTGCAGTGCTGCCTGAAATGAAGGAGCAGATATGATATTTGACTTTGACTCACACCAGACCAAAGATGGGACCTGAAAACAGAACAGTAAACAGAGATGTTTCAACCAATAAAGAAATCAAAGAAAGTATTTTAAATGACTATATGGACTTACTTTTATAAAAATATTTACAATATGATAGGTGAATATAAAATCTGAACAATATCAAAATTAAAGAATTTTCAAATATTCACATGCAAAAATCACAAGGCCTGAAGAATAACAGGTGAAATCACTTAAACCTTTAAAGAATGGAACTTTCCAAAAGGTTGCAAACTTTTGCACTATAGACTTACAAACAGTTCCACATTTCAAATACATACAGATGCACCATGTATGTATGTATGTATATATATATACATATATATATGAAAAATCTTAAATCCATCATATAAAACATAATCCCACAGAGCAAGCAAAATGTTTCTATCAGGCCAAGGATGAGTGCTTGGTAACCATTCCCAAAATCTCGATCTGATCCCCATCACTGCATAAAACAGCTTGCCTTTGCACAAATGTAATCCTAGTATTTAAAGAGCATATCAGAAGTCTAATGGCATCCTTGGCTGCACATCAAGTCTAGACCATCTCAGGATACACGAGCTTCTGCTTCCCTAAGGCAAACGAGAGAATGAATGAGCGAATTAATAATTATAACATAATTAATATAAATTTAGCTTGTTTCTAGAGATATATGGATAAATCAATACTAGAAAATCCCTTAATGTGATTTGACTTATTAAGAGTGACTAAAACTTAAGCTGACAATATGTTTATTTGAATAAATAGGAAGTGATTGAACACTGGAAATAGCTGCAAAAGTTTAAAAGGATGCCAGTAAACAATAAACATTGGGGGACATAGGCATGATTACCATACTGTACAATGTATGTACATATTGACTTATACAGGATGTTATAAATATGCACTAATAATGTGTCTGTTACAGATTTTAAAATAAGGATATCCACTTATAGCAATAAAGGCACTGTGAGTGTAGAAACCAGAAAGAATTTTCAGTATGAAATGTTATACGTGGGTCTTACAGTTCCTGTGATTCAGAAAGAGGGAAGTGGTTTATGTAGGTGCTACTGAAATAAGTCCTAAGAGGGCTGCAGCACAGGAGACCTGCACTCCAGGTTTTACTACGGAGGACCTGCCTTTCTGCACTGAAGCAAAACCCCAGTGATGGAACTTAAGCACGAGCACCAAATGCAAATATGATATTTTTCTGTTGTTTACAAGAAATATCTATTACATGCATCTCAAAGCAAGGATCTATGAAAGTAGATATACAAGGTTCATAAGCACATTAAAGCTTCTTTGGAATAAGAATATCCAAACAAAATGAAACATATAGCAAAAAGGCTTGGAGAATATTTTTAATATTGATCAGAAGAAAAGAGAACTGGTTTCTTCAAAAGGAAAAATATTATACAAGAAATTGAAATTGTAAATAACATTCATGAAAATTGAATCATTTAGCTTTCGATATGTGACTTCATTTGTTATTTGTACAATGTAAATATTTTCACATATCCATAAACAGTATTTTAAATTTTTGAAAGTTGTATGGAAAGAATGTAAGACTAAAGAAAAATTTGCAAAATGTTGCTGGAAATACAATAGTTGCAATTGCCTTTGAATATAATATCTTTTTTTATTTTTGAACATGGTTTCTAATTTAAAATTATGCTTGATGATTTATATGGTAATTTTCTTACTAGAAATCGATCCTATAAAAATTTCTATGCAAGCATATCTACATATTATTGTAATTATGAAGGCTGAAGCAATATAAAGTACTTATAATAGGAGACTAACTTCTAGTATAGCCTTACAATAGAGTATCAGGAGAGTATTAAAATCAAGGCAGCTAATTCAGAGGTAATTCAAAATACACTTGTTTGAAAGAAAGGCAAAGAAAAGAATGTTTAGAGTACATGTCTACTTGTGATAAATATATATCTTAAAACACATAATTTGAAAATGTAACCTTATGTATGTGTACATATATATATTTCCATTGAATTTGACTGGCTACCCGGAAGACAAGGTTTCTAACCTTTAATTCTCTGCTACATATGGCTTTACTGTTAAAATTGTAAAATAATTTTTGACTGATTATTTTCACCAAATATATTATTTGTAGTGTTTCAAGCTACATAATCATTACAGCTAAAACTATAAATATTTTTCTTGGAATTTAAATAAATTTTATGGTTATTAAATTTTGGAACAAAATAATGGATCATTTTGAATGTCTGTCCTAGAGGTGCATGTAGTTGGACTTTCCTTTGGGGGAATACTGGCCCTCAAATAACAACATATAGTCTTATTGCTAATGAAGAAAACTCAGCCTTACCGTAGGCTTGTTCCTAACTAGTTCTTATAACTTATATTAACCCTTACTTTTTAATCTATGTTCTTCCACGAGGCTTCTTACCTCATCTCCATACTGTCCACCCTGCTTCTTCCCAGGCTGGCTAGTCACTCTGACTTGGTTCTTTCCAAGTTTTCTCTCTCTTAAGGTTAAGTCCTGCCTGTATTCTCCTACCTATACTCTTGTACCCAGCTATTGACTCATCATCTTTTTTGTTACACCAATCACAGCAATACATCTTCACTCAGTGTACAAATATCCCACAACAGGTGTGTTGCCTTGGCAATGGTGTGGAAACAGAAGCAGGTGGAAGGACAGCTCTGAGCTGCTGAGTCTGAACAATCGGGAACCACAGGAAATGCTCCCCAGACAGCATGACTGTAAATTCCATATTCAACTCTCTTCAAAGTCTTACAGTAAGGAAATGTCTTTGATTCAACCAACCTTTAAATAAATTATGGAGATATTTCCCCTCATCTGTTATTAGGATCTTATGGAGCATGTACATTGCGTTTAGAGCTATACCAGAAGTTGTGAATGCGGTTATTTCAGTTCTTACTTAAGAGTGGTACTGAAACAGTCAGCAAGGAAAATAAGAAGGTCTGGGGAAGGGCATGTTGGTCATACCCTGGATACCATGGTCCTTGCATGTGTCTAAGAAAATTACAGAACTTTGAGTGATGTATGGGTGTACCTTCATTTGGAGGGTGTAAATTAGTTTGGGGTTCTGTAACCTGTGGTTGGGAGTAGATATGAGATTTTGTCCTGTGGAATACCAAGCAAAACAAAGATGCTGTTAGTAGAAAAGATGAGTTTTCTCTGATGTTGAGCAAATGCTGACTTGGATGCTTAGAGCGGCAGAATCCTGTCAGTTCATTTGGAGAGGCACTACCCCGTGGACTTGCTTTGGTTAGCAGTTTATGGAGGTGTCTCCAGTGATAGTGAGAGACAGAGATAGAGAAATCCAGTTGGGATGCATGAAGAGCCTTGGAGGACAAAAACTATCCACAGGGTAGGACCCTTTCAGTTTATCTCTTTCTCTTATTGTTTTCTAAAAACAACAAAACCCTGCATATATTAAAGGTACTCTAATAGAACAAGAAATCAACAACAGATTGCAATATATAGGAAATTCAGAATTTATGAGAAAAGTATAAATTAAATAGAAAGCATAAATTTATTTGCTGTGATATATGTCATATAGCTAGGAGATAATTTATAACCTATATACACAAAAGATTTCAGAACCATGGAGATAAAATTTAACAGTAAGAACGTTAACTCTGACTATAAAGCAAGTGTATTTGGAGCTTTTATTCTACAAAACATACTCTAATAAATGATGACTATGTATTTGAGCTTATACAGACTGTTTTGTAGCATATTATAAGCATGTCACAAGCAACTGTGGTCTTATTGTGCAAGAGAAGCATCCAACCTTCAAAGGCAGTCCCAAAAAGACTTTGGCATGCTTCTCAAAATTTACCTAATAAAATTGGATAAAGACATTTATAAGGAAATGAAATACAGATTTAGTAAACATTTCTAGGTAAGTGTTTATATACATATTTATATATATGTTTTATGAGCAGTATAAAATTTTTAAAATATTCATAGTGCATGTATAGTGATAACATTTTATAAATTACCAAAAATTCCTATTCTGAAAAAGATAAGTGAAATATCTTATGTTGTACAAAGCAAAGTCAATTAAATGGATTCTAGTATCAGCTGCAAATTAAAGTCATGATTTGTCTTTAATAATTTAGTCATTGAGAAGATCCTGTACCTTAGGAAACAGTACTCAGTAACTCTTGAAGAGTCACTAGAGGCAAAAGATACAGTTGTGTTATGAGGCAAATAAAAAGATCAGATAAAACTGTGAAAATGAGGGATGGGGACATGGTCATATTCATAAATAATTTTGTGTTTCTAGTTTCTGATGAAATATCACACTAGATCTTGTTGTCAGCCCCTTTCCAGACTAACCATGGCATATCACCAGAGAAGCAATTATGACTAATAAAAAATTAAAGTTGAACCTTAGTCAACTCAATAAAAGATTAATGGGTTCTAGTGCTAAAAGATTTTGATGCAAAAATAAGCAGTGGCAGTTGTCTCTGTCATAGGATCGACTATCCAAACTTAGCATCACCCTTGACTTCAGCTACCGCTGGCAAACTGCAGAACAGAATTCTTAAATGAAATTTTCTAAAAACGAAAAATTTGTAAGTTTCATAGGATACCTTGTACCAATATGCTATTTTAAAATACCATACCATTACTTCACCTGTTGAAATTTCACTAAGCCAAATTAGTAAGTCAAATTTTATCAAAGGTGTGTTAGTCTGTCTACACAAAGAAGTGCATCAAGGATGTATATGGGATATACTACAATTCATGTTTTTAGGTATTCACTAGGAGTCTTGAAATACAGCCATCATGACTCAGGAGCTCCTTCAGTAATGTACCAAGCAGAAGTAGAGAGAATGAAAATTAAAATTGTTTACATAAGGAACTACCCAGAAAGGATGAATAACAAAGGTATGAATTAATGGGTTAGGATTTCAGGAAAAATCATAACTTTAAACGTCTACCAAAAGATAATAAAATGATGGACATTCTGCAAGGAAAGAAAGTAAAAAATTTGTGGGTGTCAGTGAGGAGGCCTAGGTAATTTATTAAGCCTTGGGCAGTAGATCAGTACTCATCCCGAGTATACACACGGACTTTGGACTCCCATCCAACAATGTGAGATGTGCTCTCACCCTGAACTCTTGGGGGAGGGTCTAGGCCCTGCCCTGGATGAACTGACAGACTATGGACACCCCCATGGAGGGCCTCACCCTCCCTAAGGAAATGTGGGTATAATGGGGGGGTTGGGGGGAGGGTACGGGAGGAGGGGAGGGAAAGGGAGAGGGACCTGAAACTAACTTGTGAAGCAACCTTGTTTCTAATCTAAATTTAAACTTAAAAATAAATAATAATAAAAACAAAAGTAAAAATTTATCTATATTTTTATAATAGTTTCTGAAAATGAATAGGAATGGAAGAAACTATTACTTTAATAATCATAAAAATATATAAACTCTTAAAGACTAAAGAATGCTCAGTGTCGATGTAATATATGAACATTGTTTATTATTGTAGAGGAATCAATATAAAATAATGCTATTCAAGAGAAATAAAGAGAAATAGTTTACTATCTAGATTAAGTTTTAAACACCTCACAAAGTTAAATTGAAAAACTTGGTCAGCTGGAGAAAGAAACTAGTTATAAACCTCTGCAACCATCCTTCATAATTAACAGAAGGAATGAAATGCAACAGTATTAGGGCAAGGATATTCAGTATCATCAATTTGATTTAATGTTGTGTTATTATACTGAGCAATGCTTAAGAAGGAAGCATATGAATGATCTCCAGGGAAGTGCTATGTTCTCACTCTGTAAACACCATACTGATGTGGGGAGTCCTGTGATTATGTCAATAAAGCACTGTTGGGCCAAAAGGAATCTAGATAGGTGGGACTAGGAGTCCAGGTGAACTCTGGGAAGGAGAAACACTGGGAGTCAAGATGTAACGCCATGGGGTAGGAAGCCCAGAACTATTCTCCAGTAAGAGAAATACTTAGATTAACAATTATGGGGTAATTACTTAAGTCAGAGCTAGCCAGTAAGAAACAAGCAAGGCCAACAGCTTCATAATTAATATAGCCTCCTGTGTGTTTATTTGGGACTGATGCGGCTCTAGAACTAGGCTGGCGGGAAGGCTTCTCTCAAGGAAAAGGCTTCCCTTTACACCACACAAAAAACTCACACAATGAAACAATAGAACTCATCAAATTAATATGTGCATTTAAAAATCATCAAAACTGTATATTAAGAAGACCTAAAATAATGATATCTTTCTAAATAAAAGTTGTAAATCTTCTTTAAAAAGTCATGAGTCATGGTGTTGTGTTTCAGGTAGACAACAGTATGACTCCTTAGGATGTTTTCAGATACCTTACTGTTATTTTTATCCTCCTTCCTCTGTCTTCATGTCCTGCCCCCCTCACTAGTTAGAGTGTCCCATTTCCTAGTTCAGATCACTTGTGTCCTGCTGGACCCATCTTTATTGTTTCCCAATTCCCTCACCTAGCAGTGGTTCCTTTTCACTTTCCTGGTTTCTGCAGTTACCCCAGCATTTGTACTCACATCTGAAGTTTTGGACCCACCTATAGAAAGAAGGAAAAAAATCATATATATATATATATATATATATATACACACACACACACATGTCGGTTTGAAAACATACATATATTTGTATTTAAACATAAACATTTTCATCTGGGTGTTCAGCACTTTCTCTAAGGAGCTAAGAACATCTATCATAAATCCAAACCCTATGAGTGAGAAGTGCTCTTTGGAACTGTCAGTCAGGCTGTCCCAGAGGCACTCAGACATAGAGTCTATTGCTATTGCCCTTGGTTGTCTCCCAGAGGCGGAAGGAATGCCCTACAGGTGAAGACTGCATGTATTTCAGACCCAGGCCCCAGAGGTCTCTGAGCTGGACCTGATATGAATGCCTCCTCTCTGAGGACTAGCTTTCCTGTTTCCAGAAGGTGCCACGCAAGCTTCCAAAGGAGCATAGCAACCAGGAGTCCTACCCATCTATGACAGATTAGTCACAACCACCATTATGGCATGATAATCCTAGAGGTGAAGTAGCGGCACATACACCAAATGCTCTCCGATCAGACTTAAGGACCACTCAATAAGAGGGAAATTGTGTCTGGTACTGGAAACCTAGCTAAGTACCCAGGACTAGCGAAGTCATGTACCCAGGACTAGCGAAGTCATGTACCCAGGACTAGCGAAGTCATGGGTTTGGATGAGACCTTACAACCACCACTTTAATAAATGAGCAAAACCTATGAGCACATTCTAAGCATTTATGTTTATGCCCACAAATAAATATACTCCTCACCCCTCATAAGGGAAACTTCTCCATGTAACAGACAGAGAACGTTTCAGAAAGATACAATTAGAAAAAGATGCTATTGAGGAGCCCAATTCTGACAGATACCTCTGCAAAACAACTCCCATGCCTAAGTGCCCAAGACTCAGGGAATATACCAGAAGAAGAGTGGAAAAAATGATAGAGCCAGAGGATCAGGGAGTTTTCTGTGACATATCCTATTAATATCAGAAGTTATGCCCATAAAGTCTCACCAACGTGACTGCATAAACCTCAGCTGAAGAGGAGCAACAATAAACATGCTGAAGGGAGTGGAGTTAGGGCCACAAGTCAGCAACCCTACACAAAGAACTCCAGGTCGCTAAGGAATGACGAGAGTGGGAGAAATAGTCTTCCTGAAAAAAGAACACAACGATCAGTTATTTCATGTCAAATAGCCAGACCTGAACATACACATTCAAGTGTCACGGA